GGGACTAGAACCCGGTGTGCCGGCGCCGCGAGGTGGAGGATTAGCCTAGTGAGCTGTGGCGCCGGCCTATTACTTCATTTTTTAAACAAGCAGTTAACAGTTTAATCAAATATGTGGTTTTTACCAGTATACTGTTGTTGTAGTTGCTTGGGAGCTTCATCTATCAGGAAAAGCATTCTTCACCGACACAGAGCATCAACATTCAGATGCTCTTTTCCACGAGTGTTTGATTTTCAACTTAGATGAGAAGAACAGCATTTAATTATTGTATCCTTTATGTATGGGATGTTGACAGACTAACCAGGTCACCGACAAGAACTGCAGTCTGCAGATTAATAATGCCAATCCCTTCTAAGCCACCAAAGAGCAGCACATAGCATAAATATGGAACACAAAAGCATAATAATTATTGCAAGCCATCTTGTTTCAAACATTTTCTTCAGTTACTACAAGGATCCCTTTAAAAAGCCGGTACTGAGGGCTGGCGCCGCGGCTCACTAGGCTAATCCTCCGCCTAGCGGCGCCGGCACACCAGGTTCTAGTCCCGGTCGGGGCGCCGGATTCTGTCCCGGTTGCCCCTCTTCCAGGCCAGCTCTCTGCTGTGGCCAGGGAGTGCAGTGGAGGATGGCCCAAGCACTTGGGCCCTGCACCCCATGGGAGACCAGGAAAAGCACCTGGCTCCTGGCTCCTGCCATTGGATCAGCGCGGTGCGCCGGCCACAGCGCGCCTGCCGCAGCGGCCATTGGAGGGTGAACCAACGGCAAAGGAAGACCTTTCTCTCTGTCTCTCTCTCTCACTGTCCACTCTGCCTGTCAAAAAATAAGATAAAAAAAAATAAAAATAAAAAGCCGGTATTGAAACTGACTAAGGGCCAGCACCGTGGCTCACTAGGCTAATCCTCCGCTTGCGGCGCCGGCACCCTGGGTTCTAGTCCCGGTTGGGGTGCTGGATTCTGTCCCAGTTGCTCCTCTTCCAGTCCAGCTCTCTGCTGTGGCCCGGGAGGGCAGTGGAGGATGGCCCAGGTGCTTGGGCTCTGCACCCACATGGGAGACCAGGAGGAGGCACCTGGCTCCTGGTTTCGGATTGGTGCAGCACGCCGGTCACAGTGCGCCCACCATAGCGGCCATTTGGGGGATGAACCACGGAAAAGGAAGAGCTTTCTCTCTGTCTCTCTCTCTCACTGTCTAACTCTGCCTGTCAAAAAAAAAAAAAAAAAATAAATACTCTCCACAGATAACTAAACCTATCTAACTACATTGTATGTTGACAAGGAGAGAGATGAGATGCCTAGGACCTGTGCAGTCAGGCCTTACTCCGCATCATCCTGGCTACTCAGGACCTGCCATAGCTTCTCTATTGCCATGTTCCTAGGCTGCAACGCCAGCCACGTGTGTCCCCCATTGACTCATTTAATCCTCATAACTATAAACAAATCTATCATTTATTTTTATTACTGAGGTTTAATATAGGATAGAATATGGTAAATTAGCAGGCAAGCAGGAACACTTTAAAAATCTCAATGCAGCCCCCATTTTCTATTAAGGATATATTAGTCATCTTAAAGCCAGGATACAGGGGCCAGCATTGTGGCACAGTGGGTTGATACTCTGTCTGCAACATCAGCATCCCAAATGGGTACCTGTTAGAGTCTAGTCTGCTTTGCTTCCAATTCAGCTCCATGCTAATTCACCTGGGAAAGCAGCAAAAGATGGCCCAAGTGTCCTCCACATAAGATAAAATCTCCTCCACATAGGAGACCCAGATGGAGCTCTAGGCTCCTGGCTTCAGCCTGGCCCAATGCCAGCCATTGCAGCCATTTGGGGAGTGAACCAGTGGATGGAAGATCTCTGTCTCTTTCTGTCTCTCCCTCTCTGTAACTCTTTCAAAGAAATAAATAAATCTTTTAAAAAAAAGAATATAAAAAAAGTTCGTATACAGAAGGTGGAGCAAGATGCATGAAAGAACTCATCCATTTGTATAACTATTCAAATACAAAAATACTTTCACAGGAGTTAAGGATAACAGGACATGTTTATAGCACGATAATAAGAAAAGATTCATTAAAGAGAATAGGAAGGACTATTTTACCCATGTCATCTCTCCCTTATATGTAGAATATATATACAATATATAGATAGATTTGAACTCTGAACTGCATCATTGCCAGCCAACTACAGCAGCCTTGGGCCTTGGACGGTCTACGGTGACAGGCAGGCCTCAGCAGCTGGGGCTTCAGTTATGCCTCAGTGCTGCACTAGTGTCGGTGACTGTAAGCTTCAGCTATGCTTCAGCAGTGCCAGTCTCAGTAGCCAAAGGATTTCTATTAAACACTGTACTAGCCTCAAGAAACACAGGATTCCACTGGCACTTTTCTGGTCACAGCAGTACTGGACATAGGGCGCTTCCTTGTGTTACAAGAGCTGTAGTGGTCACAGCTTAGGGACGCCACCATATATATGTCTAGAATCTCTTCATGGGTTTCCTTATTGAAGGACATCACTAGACAAAGCAAATGGCTGAGACTGGAAGTACCTACTTCTTCAATGCACAGACATTGATTCACAACCACTCAAATCAAGATTAATGAAGGAGAGGCCAGCACTGTGGCATAGTAGGCTAAAACTTTGCCTATGGTGCTGCATCCCATATGGACACTGGTTCGTGTCCTGGCTACTCCTCTTCTGATCCATCTCTCTGATTATGGCCTGGGAAAGCAATGGAGGATGGTCCAAGTGCTTGGGCCCCTGCACCCATATGGGAGACCCAGAAGAGATTCCTGGCTTCTAGCTTTCAATCAGTCCAGCTCTGGCCATTGCGGCCATTTGAGGAGGGAACTTTTGGATGGAAGACCTTTCTACCTCTCCTTCTGTTTTTAAATCTGCCTCTCAAATAAAAAAATTAATTAAAAAAATAAGAATAATCAGAGAAACATGATGTCATAAGTGAATAAAATAAGGTTATCAGTGACTAATGCCAAAGTGATAGAAATGATTGAAATGTCTGGCATTTGAAATATTTGAATATTTATTATTTGATTATATTATTACAACCAAGTATAATTGATATCATTATAAATATTTGATTTTGAAATTATTTGATTACATTATTATAAATATTTGAATTTGAAATTGAATAATTTGAATAATAATTGAATTTAAAATATTTTACAGAAGCTCAAAAAACTTCAGGAAATATAGAGAAACAATGGAGGAAAAATGTGACAGAATGAGAGATTTAACATAAATTTAAATAATGATAGTAACTTAAAAATCAAGTAGAAGTCCTGGAGAATGAGATGACAAGATGAGACAGAGTGCATCACCAAACAGAAGACTTTGTGAACTGAGAGAACAGCTATTTGAAAATATACAGTTGGAGAAAAAAGAAAAACAAAGAAGAAGGAACTGTGACCAAGATAGCTCCTGAGTAAGGGGCTCCAAGCGACCACTTCCCTGAAGGTACAACAATGTGAACAGCTAAATACATATCAAGTCACCTTCATAAGATCTCTGGATGCCAGGTGAGATACCACAGTGCCTTGCTTTATTATAATCACAAGAAAAGTTGCACTGAAGATAGCAAGAAGGAAAGAGATTGGGCACTCTCCCCCAACTCCACGGAGCACAGCATGCAGAGATGCCCACTGGGAAAGGGAGAGTGACCTGAATTCAAGCGCTAGGTTCATTGTGAAAAAATTCTGTCAGAACGAGTCTCTATGCCTTGGTCCCCAGGCTCATACCTGTGGAATGAATATTTGGAGCTTGCACAGCCACATAGCCAAAACAACCCAACCCCAATCCCTAACAGAAAGTGAAACTCCAGCTACATTGAGAGGCCAGAAAAGGACGCTGAGAACTACACCCTGGAGTTCATGCTCGTCCAGCGCTCACACTGAGCCTCTGGACTCGCCTGGCATCAGCTAGAGACAAGAACTCGGAAGGCCAGACTGATTTTAGTGTGTGTCATTAGTAGCCTCTGGTGAACTAGGTGAACACCTTGGGACTTTTTAGGGACCTAAAATTCAAGACCCAGGTGTGACCAGCCTGGTCTGAGTGATAAGTGATTAGAGTTGTATAGGAGGAGCACATTTTAATAAATAAATTGTATAGCAAGAGAGCTGCAGTTAACTTTGTATTCTTGAAAAAAAAAAGTGCAAATTATGTGCTATCATCACACAAATGATAACTATGTGACGCAGTGCATTGGCTAAGTGGCTAGATTTAACCATTCTACAGCAAATATGTACTTCAAAACACCATGTTGTGTGAGATAAATGCATATAGTTATGTCTGTGAGTTTTCAAAAAAGCCAGTTAGGGATGTTTTCTGACTTTTTTAGTGATTTAAGGGATTTTTTTCTGACTGGGTTTTTTTTTAAGTTTCTTTATTTAAAAAAAATTTTAGAAGCCTTTTGTTTAATGAGTACAAATTTCATAAGCACAAGTTTAGGAATATAGTGATTCTACCCAATGTACCTGCCTTCCCACCCCACTTCCTCCTCCCTCTCCCATTCTCAGTCCCATTTTCCATTAAGATTTATTTTAAATTAACTTTATACACAAAAGACCAACTCTATACTAAGTAAAGATTTCAACAGTTGGCACACACACAATATATAAAAACCTATTTGAGAACAGGTTTTGCAGTTAATTCTCATAGTATAACTCATTGAGGACAGAGGTTTTGCATGGGGTGTAAGTGCACAGTGACTCCTGTTGTTAATTTAACAATTAACACTCTTAAGTATGACCTGACTGGCTTTTAACTTATTTCTCTCCTTTTGTTTTCCTTTGAAAAGTCCTTTTGTTTCAGTTTTAAATCTCTGTCTTGTTAGATCTGTCAATTGCTCAATGGCATCATAGTTTAGCTTTGATCATGGGAGTCATTTAACAGATAACTGATTTCTGATTATAACCAGAGATAGATTTTCCCATAAGAATACCTTTGCAAGTTTGATTGGAGGAGTTCAGAATTTCCCTGAAGGCATAACAACATGCTCACCACTAATTGGCAGGTGGTTCCTCAGGTCCTCAGCTTCCTCATCCTCCAAATCATAACCCATGTCTTCCAGGATGGAATCCATTTTGGAGACATAGCACTTCCCACCTTAGGATAAGGGAAGCGAAACAAATAGGAGCTGATGGCTAAGAAAATGCTGGTTATATTTACACAGAAACTACAACTGGATAGAACAAATCTACTGTACAATAACAATTAATAAATCCATTCAGATAGAGGCTTTAGGGTGGGAACCAAGAATATAATACATCCTACCCTCTTGTTTCAGGGGGATGCCTAGTGCAGATTTTAGGAAAGGTATAATTAGAATAAATTTAATTGTATACAATATAAATTATAGATAATTTTATCTAAATATTAATTATACATACTACTTTTATATATTATATGTTACATATAATATATACATTACATATAGCATATATTATACATATATACATATATTATACATATAGTATATATTATATACATATATGATATATGATATATGTATTATATATAATTATATACAATATATTACATATATGTGTAAATATAACATATATGTCATATATGTATATGATACATAATGTATGTATTATAATATATGATATATATGTATATATTCATATAATATGTAATTTTCTTAATGACCTCAGAGATGTTAGTTAACCCAGCTCATAGGAAAGGGATCTATAGGAGGCTCAGTGATCTAACAATGCACAGGTTGTTATCTAAGCTAGACCAGGTTCCCATTATTCTTTGTTTTCCCTGAATTATGAGATGGGTTATTTCACAGAACACATTATTTGTATTCCAGTCAAAGTTTCACCTTAGCATTTACTGTGTTATAGTAGGTTCTAAGTTAAATATTTTTAATCAATGAACAGATATGTTGCCTGTGTATCATGGTCAAATGAATGACGAAACAAAAGTGAAGTCTTAGAGTATAGATAGAATATGTATGGTGTGGAGATATGACACTACAGCATTTCTGATATAACATAAATAATCCAGTATAATTTTCATGTCATTGAACTAAGACTTTAATTATTAAAAAAGTAGAAGTTAGCAAGTCAGAAATAGAATAAGAAAGTATAACTTAGAATATATATGTGAATGCGAAGTATTTGCATTTGACTTTTACACGTTTACACAAAATATCTTGCTCACCTGTGAATTCCTTTACTTCTTCTAATAATTTATGCAGATCAGTAATCCCAGAAGCTAAAAAATAAGCCACAATTCATGCACACACAATTATTTACTGACTCAGAAAGTGTCAAATGTAGCAAAGTAGTTATTTTATTTATAATTTGTTTTAAATTACAGCTTAATGATATATATAGATGAGGATGAATACAAAACAAGAAAAATTATTCTCTAAATATATTAACTATTTATTTCATTATTATTCTGTCTTTTTGTCTCTTAACATCTCAACCTCTCACACCATGGCACATCTCCCTCCTCAGACTTGTTCTCTCTCTCTTTTTTTAAGATTTTTAAAATTTATTTATTTGACAGGTAGAGTTACAGACAGTGAGAGGGAGAGACAGAAAGGTCTTCCTTCTGTTGGTTTGCCCCCCAAATGGCTGCTACGGCCGGAGCTACGCCGATCCAAAGCCAAGAGCCAGGTGCTTCCTCCTGGTCTCCCATGTGGGTGCAGGGCCCAAGCACTTGGGCCATCCTCCACTGCACTCCTGGGCCACAGCAGAGAGCTGGACTGGAAGAGGAGCAATCGGGACTAGAACCTGGCGCCCAAATGGGATGCCGGTGCCACAGGTAGAGGATTAACCAAGTGAGCCATGGCACCGGCCCCTCTCTCTCTCTTTTTTTTAAAGATTTTTTTTTTTGTAAAGGTAGAGTTAGAGAAAGAGAAAAAGAGAGAGTGATACCTTCCATTCAGTGGTTCACTCCCCAAATGGCTGCAACAGCTGGCCAGGGCTGGGCCAGGCCAAACCCAGGAGTCCAGGACTCCATTCTGGTCTTCTACATGGGTGGCAGGAGTCCAGGTACTTGGGCCATCCTTTGCTGCTTTCCCAGGAGCATTAGCAGGGAACTGGATCGGAAGCAGAAAAGCTGGGACTCTGAATTGTCACTCATATAGGAATGCTC